AGTTAGCCCTTAAATAAACGTCTGAGTCTACATGCACCCAGAATCTTCCAGATGATACATAAATGGTTTGGGTGCAACGTGGGCTGATGCACAGTACTTTTCCACCGGTGTTTCTCCTATTCTCCACCACTACTGACTGGAATGCCATTTATTAGATGGCATTCCCTCCTGTTTGTTTATTTATTACAAACGGCTTATAATCATTTCACTTATTAATAATGTCTAAGGGATTTGGCTAAAACTTCAAACAGAAAGTCAAATTCCCTTCTCCACAAGGAGGGAAACAAATTAGGCACCAATAGAGGCATTTTCATTTATTATTAATTCATTTACTAAGGCCCCAACTACCATAAAAGAAAAAGTATAAACTTATTATGAGCAATAAATATTTCTGTAGTAAAATCTTCTACAGTAATTCCTCATATTCCTACCTCCACCCTAAATAAATGCAGTTCTGGTTGCCAAGAAGGTGATTATATTTCCCATACATGAAAGATCTGGAACTGAATCTTGTCTTCCCAACTGTTATGAGATGAAAACCTTAGGAAATCACGTCTTTGAGTTTTACTTTCACACCCATACAGAGACATGCACTTGCACATGCCTGCTGGAAGACAACATACCTATTCTAAGATATATTATCTAAGTCCCATTGGGTCTGGAGAGAATATAAACTCGTATTTAATCTTTTCTTTCTCTTTAGGTTGATGACTTAACATTATTCCTTTAATAAAGATAAAAATCATAAGCCTTCTTTTAATGTTAATCAAAAAATTGTAAAATACATTGTGTCACGGCTAAAAACAAATCAAAGCTCACCCACCCCCATTACCAGCTGAAATGCTTTAATTTGATCTCCTACTGAACCACTGTGGTTACAATTCTAGGTCCTTGTGGTAATCTTCCTGGCCCAATCTTTCTTCCTTTGAAGAAAATTAAGGGTTGCAAATATACAATCCAATCAAAGACAGAGTCCTACAACAAAAACAACAACAAAATAAACAACTTTGCTTAAGTGAAAATTATTATTTATTCCCAGAATAAACCAAAAGTTTACACTCAGAATATCTTAAGAAGCTACAGAAAAATACAAACTAGAAGACTCAAGCTCTTATCCCTATTCTCTTGCTAAACAATGCTGGCTAAGCTGTACAATAGCCTCTTATCTTCGAAATAAGAATGTCCTACTTAGTAAGTTACTTTATGATCCTTTCTTTAAGTACAGGAGTCTGACGGACCTAGACACAAACTGCATCTTGCACAAGAATGAAGCTTTCCCAAAGAAGCAATGTCATAAATGACGGCTGGCTTTGCCTGTGTAATTATTTAAAAATCTTCTTTTAGGGTTAATATTCTCTATCATTTCTTTTTTTAAATTTGTTATTCTGTTACATTTGTCCCAATTTTCCCTCCTTTGCCCTTCTCCTCCCAGCCCCCACTCCCAGTCAATCCCCACTCTGCTGTCCATGTCCATCAGTCATTCATACATGTTCTTTGACTAGTCCCTTCCCCTCTTTCCACCATTATCCCCCTCCCTCCCATTCTGGCCACTGCCACTCTGTTCCATGTTTCTATGTCTCTGGTTCTGCCTTGTTCATTAGTTTATTTAGTTCATTAGATTCCTGTTATAAGTGAGATCATATGGTACTTGTCTTTCACTGAATAGCTTATTTCGCTTAGCATAATACTGTCCAGTTCCACCCATGCAGTCACAAAAGGTAGGAGCTCCTCCTTTCTTTCTGCTGCATAGTATTCCATTATGTAAATGTACCACAGTTTTTTGATCCACTCATCTACTGATGGACACTTAGGTTGCTTCCAGCACTTGGTTATTGTAAATTGTGCTGCTATGAATATAGGGTTGCATAGCTTCTTTTTAATTAGTGTTTTGGGATTCTTAGGGTATATTCTCAGCAGTGGAATTACTGGGTCAAAAGACAGTGCCATTTTTAATTTTTTAAGGACATTCCATACCATTTTCCACTATGGCTGCACCAATCTGCATTCTAACCCACAGTGCACTAGGGTTGGATCCCTTTTCTCTACACCCTCACCAGCACTGGTTGTTTGTTGATTTACTAAGCATAGCCATTCTGACAAGTGTGAGGTGACATCTCATTGTGGTTTTAATTTACATCTCTCTGATGGCTAGTGATGTTGAGCATCCTTTCATATGTCTATGGGCCCTCTATATGTCTTCCTTGGAGAAGTGCCTATTCAGATCCTTTGCCCATTTTTTAATTGGATTGTCTTCCTGATGTTGAGTCCTATGAGTTTTGTATACATTTTTGAAATTAAACTACTATCATATATATCATTGGCGATTCTCTATCATGTCTTTCACCAATGCCACCACCTTTGATTTAAATAGTTCTGATTGCTAAGGAATTGCTAACAGATAGTTCTAATTGATAACAAATTTCATTCACACATTCTGTGCATGAATTCACAAACCCAGCATGTGAACTTACGTTCCAGCACTTCTTACTATTCAGTTGGCCAAAAAGTCTGTTTATTTTTTTCATAAAATAAAAGACACATTTTCTACTCTCACCAATAACTTTATTGATTTGGATATTTTGAGTATGCCTGCTATCTCCTGCTATTGGCTTCTAGTGGGTGAGGCCAGGGGTGCTGCTAAACATCTTCCAATGCATAAGACAGCCCCACAACAAAGTATATTTGGCCAAAATGTCAATCGTACCAAGAAACTTTGCAAACCACGTTTGACATGCTTGATTAATCACAGCACCTTCTCCAAACACTGCACAAATCTTTTTTTGCATTTCAGTTGCATTTTTACCTTTCTTGAAGTAATAAAGCATAATATGCTAAAAATGTATATCTTCTTCCATTTTCAATATTAAAATAGCTGCACAAAAATTCACCGATTTGCATATTTTTTAAAAATTCACACTGATATGACAGCTGTCACAATACAACCTAACAAAATTGTTTCTAATGAAGTTAAAGACAACTAAGCCCTACCAGAGCCATAGTACAGAAAAAACATAATGGACTTTTTGGCCAACCTAATACAGTTACTATTCACCAACTATTGGTATCGGATCCCTCAAGGAAGTGACCATGCCTCCCAATTCTGATCCTTAAAACAAATGATGAGAACTGTAGCCATGAGAATACTTAACAAATATTTCTGAGATTGATTTTTAAAGGACTTTATGTATCAGTAATGAAAATCCAAATGCAAATTCAGGTGACCCTTAAACAATGAGGTGGGGGTGGGAAAGTTAGGGGTGGTGACCCCACCCTCACACCAACAAAAATACCTATATAACTTTTGAGTCCCCCAAATCTTCACTACTGATAGCCTGTTGACCAGAAGTCTTACTGATAACAGTCAATCAACACATATTTTGCATGTTTTATGTTATTATATGTTGTATTCTTACAATAAAGAAAACATTATTAAGAAAATCATGAGGAGAAAATGCATTTACAGTCTTTATTGAAAAAAAATCCACATATAAGTGGGTCCCACAGTTCAAAGCCATGTTGTTCAAGGGTCAGTTATAATTCTTTTGAATAGGTAAATACACCAAGAAATCTGAAGCAAATGTTGGTATGTTCACTATATGTAATATATTATAGAAACTAATTTATAATATATTAAATTTAAAAATTCAGAATAATTATATATAGAATATACAAAATATATTCGGTATAAATATACCTATTTATTATGTAAATCACATACATCAAATATATTATAAATCCATAATTTCTTAGATTTATGTTTCATATATTTAAACATATAAAATGTTTTTAAATTGTATATATAAAGTATAAAATATATTTTAAAATTAGATATAAAATATCAGGTTAAAGTTATATATAAAATGTAATTACAATTTAAAAAAATCTTTGCATTGGGAAAACATCTGGAAGGAAATGCATAGAAATGTTAGCAGTATTTGTGTTTGGGTGCTGAAACCATGGATGACGTTCTTCTCCATATGCTAAACCTTATCTAAGGAGTATGCACCATTTCTATGAAACTATTTTTTAAAAGATAGGAAATAAATGGGAAGGAGCACTCCTTAGCGGTAAGGAAATGGAATAATTAGAGCAGTTAGTTACCATTTAGTAAGTGCTATAAACTTTTACCTTCTGAGGAACTTTTTAAGTGATCGTAAAAATGACAACTAAGTTATAGAAGATTTGTGCTTGAGGGACATCCTGCCTAATTCTGTCATTTGACAGGTTCAGGAAAAAGGTCACAGTTGTATGATGCTTTGCAGTTTACAAAGTGCTCTATTACCCTCATCACCTGTTCTTCAAATAATCCTGTGAGACAGGTTCATATGCCCTGTTTTAAGAATCAGGAAACTGAAGGTTGGAGAGAATGAGCTTTGACAACTGTGTCGGCCTCTGGATTAAGCACAGCAATCACGCGAAAATTATCACCATTTTGCAGATAAAAAACTGGAGGGCAGAGGTTAATTGTGCTCCCTATCTTACAGCTGAGGACACTGCTCTGACTCGAGGCCAGCACGGAGGACAGGAGTCTTGAGTTAGGGTCAACTTCCTAGAGTCCTTCAGTGGAAGAGTGGATCCTAAGGCCCAGCCCTATACCCCTTCCACTATATGGTTCTCGCCTACGGTTCCTTTTAAGAGTTACTTCGTTTGCCAACCACTATGAAGGTCCAGAGGCAAAGAACAGCCCCAGGAATACCCCAAAATTAACGCAGGTGGAGAGCATCCAGGGGAAGGAAAGGCAGCGAATAATTAGAGTGGAGGGGACAAGGCTAGCAGGTCTTACATACATTAAGGGGCAACCAAGGGGAAACAAACTATCTACCTTAGGGGAAGGGACAGCAACAAGATCCCAATTCCTGCCCTAGGTACTCGTGTAACTCGGTACAATTTCCTGAGTGCCTTCGGTTTCATCTGAAAGGATCCCCACCACGACCCGTGCGCTGGGCGGGGCAGGGACTGGTTCCACTTTGCCGGAAAAGCTAGAAGAAACGTCACAGCAGGCAGGGCCTGCAGAAAGGCAACGCTGGAAAGAGCAGACACGTGCAGGGACTGGGCACATCCACCCAGTCTGAGGGGCCTGAAGCCAACGCAGAGTGGTGGAAGAGCCCAAGACCGCGGTGGGGAAAAAGGCCCGGAGCGAGGCCGCGGTGCTGAGGCTGTCGCCCGCCGAGACTTAGAACCTCAAGATCTGCCCAGAAGCCTCGCTACTCACGTTGCACCAGCCGGTCTCCGGTGAAGGTGGAGGAGCAGCTGGTAATAAGCGTACAGGGAATGCCCGCAGCCATAGCTGCACCCTTGAGCCGGTCCAGTCTGGGAGCTGCTTCCGCCTTGGGCTGTACCACCGGCGCTGGCGCGAGGGGGTAACCTGACTGGGAGGGCGCGTTCTCGGAAAGTCCTGGCGACCCTGACTGTTTTCTCACCCCCTCTTCCGGTACCAGTGTAGGACAGGCCGGGCGGAGCGTGGTGTTGCCAAGGGAACGAGTTTCTACCACAAAGGTTTCTGCTCCTGGAGACGCAGCATCCTGGGGAAGGTAGCCGACCCTAGGTCTACCCATGGCTAAGGAGGCTGAAAACTTCGACCCCATCGGTAACATATTAATCCAGGTGGGAACTGAGCCCCTCCCGACCCGGCCCCAGCTAAGACGCCTCGGGCTGAGCCGTGCAGCCCCGATGCACTCGCACCCATCCATTTGGAGCGCTGCGTCCTGACCGCCTCGGGAGAGCCCCCAGATTTGCCAGCCCGGACCTCGCTCACCAGCCTAACTCACCGCTGGGTGCCGTACTCGGGAGGTTGGGCTCCAGAAGCACTACTACACCTCTGGTGAAACTCGAAACCATGCACCTCACCCCGGAACCTTTACTTCGGAAAACTTCACCTCACACCGAGGCATCATTTTAAAATGTATTGTTCTGAGAAATATGAATCCATGGATGTAGGGGAGTGGGGAAGTTCAAATCAGACACATTTGGGGAAGTGTTAAGTTTGAGGAGAAATTGAAATATGTGAACTGTTTTTCTTAAGCAGCCCTATTTTTTGGATCAAAAAGTCCCTTGCAAATAAGTCCGGGGGTTGTAATGAATAGTATGGTAACTATAGTTAATACTGTATTGAAAGTGGCCAAGAGACTAAACCTTAAAAGTTCTCATCACAGGAAAAAATTACAACTGTGTCCTGATGGATGTTAGCTAGACCTGTTGTGATCATTTTACAATATATACAAACATCAAATCATTGTGTGGTACACCAGAAGTTAACATAATGTTATGTCAATTATGTCTTAATAAAGGAAAAGCCCCTTGCTTGGGAACACACACATAGGAAAATATATTAAAAATAACAGATTGCAAATCGAGTTAAAATTTTGAATATCAAATGTTACATTTAAAAACTTGGGAGAAATAGTTTTTCTGAAGGGGTAAATATCAAGAACATCTTCTCCAGTATAAGTCTGTGTCAGTTGCCTTTATAAAAATAATTTACATATGTAGTTTTAAAATGTTCCTGCATGTATCATCAATCTTTACTCTTATAGTGAGTTCCATTTGACTAAGGCTTAAAGTCATTTTCCTAAGGTCGCTCTATTAGGACTCTCAGATCAGTAATGAATCTAATTTATCTCCCTTCCAGGATTTTTATCTCTCACCTGCTACTTAGGAGAAACTTCTGTAAATTCACCTTTTCCAAAATGCAACCCCCTACACTTACCAATTTCATAGACTTCCTTCCCCAAATTAATCCTACCCAAATCTTACCTCACCTGTTTCTCACCATGACCCTAGAATGAGTTTAGTCAAACTGCAAAGTGAGGGAACAGTCTTCACAAGACTGCCCTCATGTCTACATCAGCCTCAAGTTCAGGAGTGCCCAGAACCACCCTCAGTCTATAATTCAGACTGAGTCTATACTTTGGGAGTATAGACCAGCAGTCTATAATTTGGGAGACCTGAACACCTCTCTTTGGCCAATTGGCTAGAATAATTCACAAAATTCAGTAAAACACTAGGTCTACAATGACAGTGTTATTATAGTGTAAAGATACAAACAAAAATCAGACAAGGGAAGAGATGTATAGGGCAGAGTCCAAGAGGGGTCCAAACAGTTTCCAGTCACCCTCTCCTTGAGGAATTACCTTGTCCCAGCCACAATGTGTGACAATATGCACAGAGTGCTGTCAACTAGGGAAGCTGATGTGAGACTTCCAGAGTTTTTATTTCGGCTCAATTGCACACTATCCCACGTGACTGACACTTCATCTCCAGCCGTTCCCAGAGGTTAAACTAATGCTTTTAGCTTTCAGTTCCTCTAAAGGTTAGAACTGATACAGTGTGGCTCAAAAACCCATCATAAATCACATTGTTAGACTGTCTGGTGGCCAAAGCCTTGAAGCAAACACACTCCTCTCAAGCAGGCTACTTTAGGGGCCTACAGGTCACCCCCCAGTATTTAAAATCAAAGGCTAGCCCTCTCTTTAGGTAAGGTTAATTATTCATCACATTTACCAGCTTGCAAATCCAGGGCCCATTTTTACAGACTCCAAACAATTGAAACACTAATGGAGACTCCTTCCCAGAAAAAGCCAGTTCTTCCCAACAGTATACTTTATTTGACTACAGGAGCAATTAAGTCCTCTGTAGTTTTCTCTATTTCTACAGACATGAGACAACTCTAAAACAGAAACCAGAATTCAGGGAGAATTCTCATGCCTAATTTCACACCTTCTCTTGAGATAATTCTACTTCCCAGGGGCTGCTCCCCTTGTGGTTTGGAATAGTGTACCGACTATGCTGCCAGAAGTCTTTTCACTTCAGAACGGGGTCCAGGGGTAGCTGTTTGGTCAGTCTGGGATACAACATCACAGTATTGATGTCACTTCACCTCTCTGGGCCTCAGTTTTCTCTTCTGTATGATACGTAGCTTAGATCACATACACCTCTAAGTTGATTCAATTTCCCCAAAGCTACGTTATCTCTTGTTATTGTAAAGTGGACTTTCTTTACTATTAGCTTAGGCAGTCAAATTGTTTTTATATATATCCAATGGTTGATTTTAAAAATCCAACAGTTGTATGTTAACACCAACCTTGGAAATACTGGAGCTAGTTGACACCTTGATATTATCGCTGTCTTTCTTACCAGTCCTGCCGTCTGGGTTGCCAGAAGCATACAACATAAAAGTGATGAGAATGAGTCAGCCAAACCATCTCTTTAGCAGAGATGAATAAAATTGGAATTATGAGACTGCTTTTTGACAATTTGGAGTCTGGTTGCATGACTCTTTTAAATTCAGGAGCAAATTTTTACTGTATTAAATATTTCAAGAGCTTCTTATTAAGCAACCCTGTCCCCAAACTGTCAAAACAATAATTTCTTCCACATAGATTTCAAAATGTATGAAGAGCAATGCATTTGATGATAACAGATGATGGGTGACATATAAAATTTCAGTACAGCAGATAGGGCCTATTTGAAGAAAGAACAGATGTAGAACTTAATCACTTTTCCTACCCAAGTGTGGTGATTTTCTGCAGTACTTATCACTAATGTAATTGTACAAATGCAGAGTCTCCTCTCTTAATGCAGACATTAAGAGGGGAGAAGAAACTGTCTGGCAATAAAAGTAACATGAAAAGCTCTCGAGAAAGATTAAGAGAGTAATTCAAGTCAGTGGACATTTACTAGGTGCCAGTTACATACAATGGATTCTGCTGTTTAGGAGAGAAGAGTTAACATTTGTTCGGTGCCCTCATATGTGACTGGCCCCATACAAAACACTTGACATATTTTTAACTGGTCCTATTGTTGCCACCATTCTGAGAGGTAGCTATTTATCTCCATTTTACAGATGAGAACACGAAGGCTCTGAAAAGCTTGGCAAATTTACCAAGCTTAGAGCGGTAAAAGAGGAAATAGGATTCTAGTTTATGTCTGTCTGGTTCCAAAGCCTATGTTCATTCATTGTCACACTCATTTCTCCATTTCCACTCAACAATTCTATGACAGAAAATAATTATTTTATTTTTCTCTCAGTGAAGAAACTAGAGAAAATGTGGATGGTGTACATGGACATCATGTGACTAGTGAGAAAACAAGGAATTATCTGCTTTTTACTGATTCTTACTATGTACCAGACTTCCATGTATCTCACAGCCCTATGAAACAGTACAATTGTTCACACGAGGAAGATGAAGAAATCAGACCTTTGGTTCCCTGATAGTAATCCAGGGCACTTACCAGGCATACTTACATAATGACACGAACCCATGAGTACTGCAGCTACACGAAGGAAATTCGGTGCATCCGTAGGAGGCTGCAAGTGGGGCTCGTCCTTGAGCTGCTTCTTTGTACTTTCCAAGTGTCTCTGGGCAATAGATGGGAAATCAGTTTGCAGCAGTAATTGGACAAAACAAATGAAAGAAGAATATCTTCATCCTTAGGGTCTTACAAACAAGCAGTAGGTATGTGCAAATTTCAATCTGCAAGCCCTGAAGGGTTTACATGACAATTTGCGCAGAGCACAAATGACCAGATGTGTCCGCCAGACTGTGATGCCCATCAGTGAAAAGATGCAAATTTTGATCTTTTGAATACTTGGCTCAATGGGAATAGTCTAGAGTAATCGATAATAGGCTGGGTCAATGTGTGTAAGTCCAGTTAGACTAACAGGGAAAGATAACCATTTCAAAATGCCTTCAGCAACCCAGTCTGCAGATTGTTATTGGTGTGGCTATTGGTGAAACAGGTGTTGGGTTCATAAATTCGCATAACAAAATGTTTTTCTTGTGGCAGCAACCCATACAATAATTGGTGCCATCTGTATTTATCTCTTGAAGTTTGAGTTCTAATATGAATTCAGAGAATCTTGTGCTAATTTCATAATGCACATTTAATTCTGAGGGTGCTTAACATTCGAAATATATTCATCATTTTGAAGGAAAATGTTAAAGTAATAACATGTTGCTTATTCTTCATGGATCATTTTCATTCTGACTGAAACAAAGTCAAGGCCACACACCCACAAAACTATGTCTGAGCAGTTAGTGAGGAAGGTCCAGCCAGAATAGAAAACCAACAGGCCCTGTGAACATATTTACAATTGCCTTTCAAAAGGCACAATTTTCACTGGAACCTCTCTGTGTTGAAAGTGTTCTGTTTTCTTACCTTTCCACCCATTAATAGAAATCAGAGTTTGGCACAACTTCTTATCGTCCCTGGACTCCACTGCTTTACCATTTGAGAAAGCAGAAGCCATTTACATTGCAGTCTTAGCTTGGATTTATTTCTAACGGGGAAAGGAAAAGTAGGCAACTTCATGAAAGCTTCGTGTTTCAAAATCTAAGACAGTAATGGAACATTCTAATAAAGACTGTCATGGAACCATAAGGACAGTCCTTTTCAATGAACACCATAAAATCAACCTTTACTGTCTCTAGCAATTCAAGTAAATTGAAGACCTTTAAAATAGATGTTTTAGGTGGACTCTGTAAGTATGCTTTTAATATTTCATATTTCCTTACACCTATAGGTCCATGAAGACCTTTATCAGTTAAGGGAGAAATTAGCAAAATTCCCACTTGAGGAAAAAGGAGGAACTCTAGACATTCAGAATCTTGAAAGAGCAATCAAGAGGACTGAAATGGGGTTAAGAGTAAGTAGAACTTTGGACATTAAATAAAACACAAGAAGACAAAGGTTCCTCTAGAAGAAAAGAATTGTGGTCCTCACAGGATTCTGTGTAATCCTATAACAGAGGTGGATCTAGGGTGATTATGAACTTTTTCTGTTTTTTTTAAGGATAATGATATTAACTGATTGATCAATTGATTCACATCCTGTCACATCCCAGAAAGAATTTAAAATATTGATAATGTAAGAGTATGCAGTGATAACTTCTAAAATGATAAAAAGAATTTTAAAAATGATTACTATTAGTCCAATATGCCTGACTAAAAAGGATTCATACCAATACATCATAGAGAGTTGAGATAGTCATTTTTGTAATATTGTAACCCAATGGGTAAAATCAAAGAAATATACCAATTTAGGGACAGAGAAATAAATTGGGACTTCATTACTATAGACCAATGATTTCCTTTTTCTTTTTTAAAAGATGTTATTTATTTTTTTAGAAAGGGAAAGGGAGGGAACAAGAGGGAGAGAAACATCAGTATGTGAGAAAAACATCTGTTGATTTGCCTCTTGCATACTCCCAGCTGGGGACCTGGCCTGCAACCCAGGAATTGAACTGGTGACCCTTTGGTTCACAGGTCAGTGCTCAATCCACTGAGCCACCCCAGCCAAGGCTAGACCAATGATTTTCAACCTTTTTCATCTCATGGCACACTTAAACTAATTACTAAAAGTGTGCGGCACAGCAAAATAATGTATTTTTTGCCAACCTGACAAAAAAAGGTATACTTTTGATTCATTCACACCAGATGGCTTTGTTGTGTTGGCTGTTGTGCTTTTTTTTTTGAAAATTTAAGGAAAAAAAGGTCAGTGCCCCTGCCTAAATAGTCAGGTATGTCATGTTTTAAAAATGTTTGCAGTGAAAATCACTGTTACAGACATATCTTAAAACAGGAAAGAATCCAACCTTCAGACAAGAATAATATTTGTTTAAAAGATGTCCAAAGAAACAAAAAAACCCACTAACTCAAAAAGCTATGTGCACCCTACATTCATTGTAGCATTATTTACAATAGCCAAGACATGGTAGCAATCTACATGTCCATTGATGGTTTAATGGAAAAAGAAAAACATATAGATACACATACATACATGCATGCATGCATACATACAATGGAATATTATTTAGTTGTAAAAAATGAAATTTTGCCCTGGCTGGTGTGGCTCAGTGGATTAAGTACCTGCCTGTGAACCCAAGGGTCACTGATCTAATTCCCAGGCAGGGCACATGCCTGGGTTGCAGGCCAGGTCCCCAGTAGGGGGTACATGAGAGGGAACCACACACTGATGTTTCTCTCTCTCTCTTTCTCCTTCTCTTCCCCTCTCTCTGAAAATAAAATATTTTTTAAAAAATGAAGTTGTGCCATTTAAGACAACATGGATAGACCTCAAGGATATCATGCTAAGTGAAATAAGTCAGGCAACAACAAATATTGTATAATTTCACATATTATGTGGAATCTAACTCCTCAACCCTCCCTCCCCAAAACACCTAACCCGATAGATGCAGAAAGAGACTGATGCTTGCCAGAGGTGAGAGTGAGTAAATGGGTAAAGGTGGTCAAAGCATATACAAATTCCAGTTATAAAACAATAAGTCCTGGGGATGTAATGTATAGCAAGATGACTATAGTTAAAAATTCTGTACTATGTATTTGAAAGTTGCTAAGAGATTAGAGCTTAAAAAGATCTTAAAAGAATTTGCAACTAGACATTGTGGTGATCATTTCACAATAAATATAAATATCAAACCACTATATTATATGCCTCAAACTATATACTGTTACATCTTAATTTTCTAAAAAACTTTAAAAAATAAAATAAAATACAACATGGATGTATAGGTACACGGGTCCAAGTAAGGATCGTCTCCACCTGCTAGACCTCTCGCTTTTGCCTCAGACTTTCATTCACCATCAGCTTCATCCCTCAGCTCCTGAGGCTGTGAGGGAGGTGGAGGGTTTTGTACCCGCTCAGACCAGTACAACGTTGTCCCTTATCACCTGAGGGTGAGGGGCTGGCCCCAGCCGGAGTCTTTGGGTTGCCCATTTTAAATGATTTGTTGTCTAAAGGTCAAATTCTTTCCTGGGATGCTTGCTTCAAGTCCCCATAGGAGAAAGATGTCACTCCATATCTGTACTGCCTAGTAAATTTACCTGGCTAAGCGATTTACTAACTATCGTGCATAGTTTCATTTGTGGAGAGTCCTGCAGGTCGCTCAACCTTTTGAGTCCCAATTGCTTATTATGCTCTTTAGGACAGAGTGATTTGGCCTTAAGATGTCTAATTATACCTTAGACATGTGATAACTTTAGGCATAGTGTGTTTGGTCTTTTGGCTTAATTACATGATTCAGAGCGTTAACCCAATGAAATGAAGTGAATTAGCTTAGTACCTTAAGTCTGCTATAATGACCTAAACTTGAACTTTTCTGTGACAGATTCACATCAAGAAGTATTTAGATGTTGTAAACCATCATGTGTTAACCACTCCTGTTACTGATAAGTTACATTTTCCCCACACTTCCAAATGGTAAGTAAAATAGCCATTTTAGGATCTAAGATAAGTACAAAAAATAACTTTGCTCACTCAGGTGAGATAACTGCAAAGGCAAAATTTTATTGGTTGTGTTTATAGCTATTCTCCCAATTTCAGTAGAAGGTCTGCATAAAAAGTTAATGGAAAATATTATGTTTTGCAAATATTTTATAAAGGATGTTTATTACATGAAAAAAGAAGTTATTGGCACAATTTGGATTTTAATAAATTTTATTTTGAATTGCTTTATTGAGTTATAATGCTTGACACAATAACAGTTTGTTTGAATGCAAATCAGTTTTTATGTTATTCACATCCCACAGTTCTTTCTTTGCAGTTTTTAGCACATGCACTATATTGTAAAGATGATTTTGGTATCAGGATAAAAAAACAAAGATAATAAAACTTGCTTTAAATATCCATTGTGTAATACGTCCTAAGAGATGATTTGTTAAAATTAGAATTGAGTCAAAGAGAACTGACCTTGCCTCACCTTGGACCTTCTTACACATCGGCCTCCTGAATGTCAGTGTTTGTAGACTGAGGTCTGTACTAAGCTTAAAAACTCGGTGGCCTGTATTTGCATTGTGAACATACACAGTAAGTCCTCACTTAAGGAATACAAGGCCTTGGAAACTGTGACTTCAATGAAACAAAGATGGGCAACAAAAACAATTTTACCATAGGCTAATTGATATCAAGAAGAGTTAAACTCCTACAGCATATTTCTGGTCACAAAAACATCACCAAACTGCTAAATACAGACCCAAACACTTCTAATATTGAACATTGAAATAAATGTGAGCTATACATACATTTATGGAAGATTAATAAAAAACAGGGTAATTGTCATATCTGTTCACTCTAGTTTAGAGGCGCAGAGGGCCAGAGCCTATCCAGGCAGCTCAGGGCTCCAGGCAGGGCCCACCCTGGACAGGACATCCTTCCATCACAGCACTCCCCACACCCTCACTCACTCAGACTGGGACAATGCAGACACGCCAGTTCACCTCGTGTGTGCACATTTGGAACGTGGGAGGAAAGTGGAGGACCTGGAGAAAACCCACTTGGACACGGGAAGAATGTGCAAATTCCACACAGACAGTGGCCCCTGCTGGGAATCAATTTTTTTTTCTTTTCATCAACATAATGAAACAATGTTGAACAAAATGACATTATTCGAAGACCTGCTGTATTAAGCATAAGTGAGTAACATCAGACAACGAGGTCAAGCTTCAGAAACAGTGCACGCGAGCTGCCCATATTTAGGACAGAGCCAGTCCTAGTGTGCAGTAGTGGGAGCAAAACTGTGGGGTTACACTGCACCCATCTCCCCTGCCCCTCCCCCACGTGAAGGTGGTGTCACAGGCATCTGACGTCCCTGGGCAGAGGCGACCTAGGGATGATGTCTAGTGTTTAGTCATTTATATCTTTAATTTTTAAATTTGGGGATAAAAATATGACCTGTAAGTAGGTTAATATAACTAATCTTTTAAAACAAGGACACTGCAGGGAAAAATAATAAAAGGGACTCTTGGAAAGGAAAATACTGCAGGTTACTTTACCAATTTATATAGACTCTTAGTTCAAAACAAGAGGATTCAACAGGGCAAAGTGGGAGGCTGATACAAAGAAGCAGCCAGGAGATCTGTAGAGGTGAAGGAAGTGTGTGGCCCAAGGACAGGAAGTTAGAAAGGAGGGGTCGGGGGAAGTGAACAGAAGGGTCTTCACCAGCTGGAATGAACATTCTCCTGCCTCCAGCCTTCTCTTTGTCCTCACCCTGACAGAGAACAGAGACCCCAGGCTATAGATTTGCAGGTCCTGGGAGATGAAAAGAGCAAACGAGGTAGTCATTGCAGCAAACAGAAAGTCTCTGACGAAGACCGAGTTGTACAGTTCTTTCCCCTGATCAGGGAGTGTCGTTGGCCTTTATTAGGGTCTCTGGATGAGTTAAGGAAGACATTAATTGGGGCATGGAGCTGTCTCCCAGAAGTGGTCCTTGGATCCCATCTTTTCTATTTAATACAATAATGGAACCAGCAGCCCTCCTATCAGGAAGATGGGATGCCTGGTAAATTTGTAAGAGCCTTACAAGCCTGGAAGAGATGGCAGGAGCATCTCAGTCATAGCTGTGGCTGTGTGGCGCTGATGGGGCATGTAATTTGAAAATGAAATGAGATGAGCCAAGGTCATAAACTGGAACAAAGTCCAAAGTAGGTCTTCAAAGTGAGCAGGCCCGAGGCAGGCCCTGGGAGCCCAAGCGTGAGGCACAGGGGTTGGCTCCGGAAGGAAGAGAAGCAGCAGCAGTCGACGGAAATGGAAAACAGGAGACCCAGGAGATCAGGGACTGTCACCTGTGACTGACATGCTCAGGCAGACAGTCACACCTGGTGCTGTTCTTGCAGGGGCGCCCGGGAGATGGTCAGGAATAGATTGGTTTGGGTTTAGAGTCTGCCAGGCGATTATATGCAACATAGGTTACAGGACTCAGAACTCCTTCAGGTTCTCAAACCTGGGAGGAGTAAGACTGGCCAATTCATTGCATTTTTCTTCTGAGGCTCCATGACAAAGCCTTTAAAATACCAAAGCTAAAAAGGTGCTTTTTAATGACCGGTGACATGACTTACCAAGGAGCGGGTTTTGTAGTTTCAGCATTGAGTAGGAGATCAGAGGAGAGACTCAGTTTCATGAAAGTTTTAAGCTGGGACAGATGCTGGATCTGGGTTTTTATTCCACATGGCCGTAATATGTATCTATTTATTTGTAAATTACATACTTATTGTCACACAGAGTGAATACATTATAAAATATACCAGTGTAGAAGAAATTTTTTTCATCCTTACTTGAGGATATGTTTATTGATTTTAGAGAGAGAAACATTGATCTGTTGCCTCCCATTCATGCCCAACTGGGAACCGAACCTGCAACTTAAGTATGTGCCTTGACCAGGAATCGAACCCACGTCCTTTTGGTGTATGGGCCGATGCTCCAACCAACTGAGCCACCTGACCAGGGCTCAATGTAGAAATTTTTAATGAGATAAAAATGAAATGAACATTTAAAAGTAATTGTTTTACTTTTTTAGCAGAACAAAATTTCCTTCTTTTTCTGAAAAGGTTATGAATTATACTGCCCTAGTTATTTAATCTTGGTAATCATGATGACTGTATACTGACTGTAGCTAATATCCCAAATCTTACTCTGCACTTAGGTGAGATTCAGCATCAGTGCCGGTCAGATTAAGTCCATATTTCAGTTACTCTTTCCAAAACTGTTTAAATGTTGGGGTTGTGGGGGCTGACTTTTCATAAACTCAATGGGATTATCATCATTTTTACCTGTGAATGCAGTGAAGGAAAAGCTCACGTTAAAGTGTTGTTTTTGCCATTTACTTGTTTTTCACTGATGCTTGCTATCATTATATTTCAAAAACAAAGCGTGTTTTCTGAAAGAATCTTTTAAAGACACCTGTCCATTTTTTCAGGCTTAAACTACATGATACAGTTCCTGAACTCACTGCACAAACGAACTGCAGTACATTCTAATGCTTCAAAAGCAAACGTGCCAGTCCGTGCCGGCCCCACAGTCCATGCCCTGCAGTCCACGCCCCGCAGTCCACGCCCCGCAGTTCAGTGCTCCCACTCTCAGAATGCCTCTGGAGCTGCCGGTGACATGACCACTTGAGGAATCCAGTGACAAGCTGAATATTAAATAGTAGGAAATAACTTATTTTTAAAAGATTTTATTTGTTTATTTTTAGAGAGATGGGAAGGGAAGGAGAAAGAGAGGGAGAGAAACATTGATAAGTGTCAGTGTGAGAGATAACACTGACCAGTTACTTGTCACACGCGTGTCCCTTACTGGGGACCTGGCCCACAACCCAGGCACGTGCCCTGACTGGGAATCCAACTGGCAACCCTGTGGTTCACAGGCCAGCGCTCAATCTACTGAGCCACACCAGCCAGGGTTATATTTCTTATTTTATGCATTAAGATCTTGTACTTTTTTCACACAACGCATGGCACTATCTTACGTATCTCTTGTTATGTGGGCTCTCCTTTTGAGAGACCACAGGTCAAGAGTGATGGTTCTTACACTGCGGTTTGCAATCCTCCTTCACTGACTCCCAGATGGGGACCCGGAGTTTGCATTTTAACAAACACTGTTGGTGTTCCTAAAGCAGACACTGTGTGCCTGGAATCCCTGGGACAAGCCTGGCTCTCTAGAATCAGTATTTGTTTTGCCACATAGATAGCTTGCCTCCGTATGATAAAGAGCCTGGTCCTGGAAATTCTGCTACCCTGATTCTATGAAGGAGGAAGCCTCTTGCACTGGGATAGAGCCAGAGTAGGACTCCGCAGTCAGGCTGGTAGGACTGCCAGTATTGCTCCAACTGTGAGTCTGATGGATATCAGAGGCCAAAAGTCAAGGGCAGCAACTCCTTTAGAGAGAGGCGGCATATAATAAAGACTAGATTTCTATTGCTCCTTTGACAGCAGAGCACCCAGTTCCATGAATAAATGAGAATCAACATTGTTCAGATATATGGGTCTTTATTCAGTCTAAGAAAACCCAGGAAATTGGGTGAGTTCATTCCAAATATCCGCTATTCATATATCTTTAATAATGATTTATAACAGACACAAAATAATTATCCTCATTATCATGAATTTCATCATAGTCAGTATTGTTATAACATTTGACAGTTTGCAAAGGACTTTAAAAAAACCTGTGAGGTAGATACTCATCCTCTCCTTTAAAAGAGGTGAAAACTAGGGCTCCTCCAAGCCCCAGGTCACACAGGTGGTCAATGGTGAGCCTCGAATTCAAGTTCCATCAAATGTCTGCAATCTACTGTCTTCTACACCAGCGCTGCCTGAAAGACAGAAAGGCTAATTTTCTTAAAACATGTTTCTCCTTTTTAGAAAGCATCGCTCAAGGGAAAATCTGGTAGTTTCGACTCATAGAAATAAACACCGATAGGTACACAAAGT